CATCCGCTCCGGGCGGGGGGGAGGGAGGCGCCTGAGCGTCCGCGGCGGCACTTTCCACACGCGGCCGCGGCGGCTCCTCCCACCGGGGGCAGCCCCGCGCCGCCCGGTCCCGCCGGGCCGCGGGACGGATACAAAAAGGGGGCAGCGGCGGGCGCGACCCTCCGCCTCCGGCGGAGCCCGGCACCGTGTCGAATCTGCCGCGGGGAATGCGCACGGCGCGGCGCGGCGGGGCGGGGCGCCGCCTCCCTCCCTCCCTCCCTCCCTCCCTCCGTGCTCGGCGCGGCCGTTGGCGGCGGGCGCCGCGCGGGGCCCGGGGCTGCGGCGGGAACGGGCGGCCCCGGCGAGCCGCTGCGGGCCCCCGCCGCCGAGAGCAGCCCCCGGCCGGGCTTGGGGTTCGTCCCTTGGACGCGGGGGCCGAGGGCGAGCAAGGGATTGCGGCCGTTGGGATTGCGGCCGCTTTACTGCGCGCTGTGGGACAGGGCTTTCCCCGGTGAGGCCGAGGCCCTTCAGGGACGCCCAGGCTGCTGGACGCGGCTGTGCTGGGGCTGCGYTGCCTTCCCGGGCGCTTTTTGTTGCCCACGGCGTTTGGTCCCCTTAGTTTAAAAAATTAGATATGAAAAGGAATAAAAAGATGTGCCATATAACCTGGTTAAAAAGGAATTCGCAGCAGCATCTGAAAGRCTGATGGTGGCTGTTGCTGTCATTGAGGGCTGCAGTGAGTCTCCTTGCTTTGCTTGTGCAGGTGGCGCCTGGGGCAGAGCTCCCCCAGGGAAGCAGCAGCTCCCGGGACAGGAGGCGCCGCGATGGCCGTGCCCATCGCCGTCCTCGACTGCGACCTGCTGCTCTACGGCCGCGGGCACCGCACGCTCGATCGCTTCAAGCTGGAGGACGTCACCGACGAGTAYCTGGTGGCCACGTACGGCTTTCCCCGGCAGTTCATCTACTACCTGGTGGATCTCCTGGGGGCCAGCCTGTCTCGCCCTACGCAGCGCTCCAGGGCCATCAGTCCGGAGACACAGATCCTGGCTGCCTTAGGCTTCTATACCTCCGGCTCCTTCCAGACCCGCATGGGCGATGCCATTGGCATTAGCCAGGCCTCCATGAGCCGCTGCGTCACCAACGTCACCGAGGCGTTGGTGGARAGAGCCCCCCAGTTCATCCACTTTCCCGAGGATGAAGCTGCAGTGCAGAGCCTGAAGGACGACTTCTACGGRCTGGCCGGCATGCCGGGAGTGCTAGGGGTGGTCGACTGCACCCACGTGGCCATCAAAGCACCGAACGCGGAGGACCTGTCCTATGTGAACCGAAAGGGTCTCCATTCTCTGAACTGCCTGATGGTGTGTGATGCCAGAGGAGTGCTGCTGAGTGCAGAAACACACTGGCCGGGCAGCYTGCCTGACTGCACCGTGTTACAGCAGGCAGCCCTCACAAGCCAGTTTGAAAGTGAGCTGCATAAAGATGGCTGGCTACTTGGTAAGTCAATTTTCCATTGATGTTTTGCATGAAAATCTTTTAGATGTTGGCTTATCCGTCGATAGATGTTGGCTTATCCACAGTCTAGAGCATTTGGGCTCAAGCGATAGATTAGCTTCTAACTGTTTTCCTGCAGATTGTTTGAAGCCTGAGATTGTTGGGACCATTCTTCCTTTAGAAAGCTAGAACAAAAMCAGCCTAATCTGTGTGTTTTTTTTTTTAAATAGTCCAAGTACTGTATATATTATTATACCTTCTGGTAAGTCTTTGTTTTCAGTATTATATATACTTCTGAATTGTACAGTTTTAAATTCTGCAAATTCTACATATGATTCTTGCCCGTTTATTGTAATTTGTTTGGTGAGTTCTCTTAAGCTCCTCTTCCATGTTCCATTTCTTTATGTAAAATAGAATGTCTCATTTTTTTCTCACACTTATAAAACTTAGTTATTGTTGCTCTTTCATGTTCTCATGTGTTCTGCTTTCTTCCCAAAATAGATGCATCTAATATAAAAAGACATAATGTCTATATCTAATGATAACGGGTATATAATAAGATATCTTCAGTTCCAGAAAACTGAGGTGGAGAACTTGAAGTCCACTGCAGGTATCTAATCTCTCCTGTTTGTCCACACTAACAGGTGACAGCTCCTTCTTCCTCCAGACCTGGTTGATGACCCCTCTGCATATCCCCGAGACCCCTGCGGAGTATCGGTACAACATGGCTCACTCTGCCACCCACAACGTCATTGAGCGGACGTTCAGGACCATTCGCTCGCGCTTCCGCTGCCTGGACGGGTCCAAAGGCACTCTGCAATATTCTCCAGAGAAATCCAGCCACATCATTCTCGCCTGCTGTGTGCTTCATAACATCTCCCTGGAGCATGGGCTGGACGTGTGGTCTTCTCCAGCCACAGGACACTTGGAGCAACCCGAAGAAGACTACGAGCAAATGGAATCAATGGACTCGGAAGCCTGCCGGATACGCCAGGAGCTTTTGCTTACTCATTTTAGCTGAGTTTGTGACAGTTTCTAAAGGCTGATCTGAGAAGGTGATGTGAGAAGAATACAGGGCAAATATGTCCCTCCTCTGTAAGTTCATAAAGGTGGAGCAGTTGGGAGACAGGAAGAAATTTTAGTGACTTCGTCTCGGGGAGCTATTCTGAACTTTTGTTGATCTGTTTGTAAATGCCATATCTAGTTGTTAATATTTTACTGTTGTGATGAACGTGGAATCCCCTATTACAGAGAACAATGTGAGAGTAGAGCAGAAACTTGGCAAATGGTCTTTGATAAGAAAGAAAGATCTATAAGGTTTGAGCTATTTTACAAAGCACAGTTCTATGCCACTTTATAAGCTAAACATTTATTTTTAAACATTTCACCAAAATTAAACTGCCTTTTGGGCTCCAGTCCACTCTGAATTTGTAAACAGCGACATAYAAAAACACACTGCTCATTTGGCTTGCAGACACAAGTTCTTCCTAAATTCCGTCAGTGATCTTGCATACCTCCCAAAACACAGGGATTCCTGGGAATGCTGTTGCTTGTGTTCTGGGAGGAGTTGGGCTTTTCCTGTATATTCACATTACTATATGCAGATACCTAAAAGGTAAAAAGGGCTAACTGTTTCTTGTTTCCCAAGCTTGAGAAGATGTTTAGCCTCGTTGGCACAGCCTATGGTTGGCTGTGTCTGTTCCTTAATGTATATCAGGAAACAGGCTAATAAATTTACGTCTAGTTCTCACTAGATGTCTACCACAACAGAAACTGTCCTTAACTATTCATCTTATTGCTCTAAAAGAAGTATGAAGGATTGATTGGAYGGCAAAAATTGAACTGATTGCAGAAGTTCTCTATTTGGATCAGAGCTGAGGCCTGGGAAGGCTGCTCTGACATTACTGGCAATGTCCCTATTCAGTGGAAAAAAGTCTCTAACGCGCACAGTTCTTGCTGGCTCAAGACTGAAGTGTCCTGCCAATACTCTCTTTCCAAAGAATAGACGTATTTCCAAGGATATCACTTGGCAGCACCCTGAGACAATTTTGTTTCTTAGAGATTTTATTGTTTACTGAGCAGGAAATGTAACATCCAAGTGTCAAGGAATTGAGAGTGCTGCAGGGGAAAAAAAAGAGAGGAAAAAAAAATAGTAACTTAAAAGCAGCAGCACAGCCATTTAGCCCAGCAGGTCTTTCTGCTCTTTGTAGASAAAATGAGGCTGGATCATGTGCCACAGGTTTGAAAAATGAGAAAGTACAGGATGGTTCCCAAGAACTGGGTGAAGTTTTGGAGTTAGACATAGTTGTGTCAGTCTGCAATAGCAATAAGCATCTCCTGCTTTATAGACAATAGGCAGGCCTGATGAGGTATGAATAACTTGTTTTCTGAGGTCTTGATTAGAAATGTACAACAACATGTCCAACAATCTGAGATGTTTTTCTATTTTCTTTATACTGTCTTCCATGATGTGTGTCATTTAAGAGCTACTATTTTTACTGTGATAAATATGGGAACTCCCTGTACTTGGGAGGGAACATGCAAGCATTGTTTTCTAGAAAATAATTTGTAAAATCATCATAATGCCAGAGGAAATGCAAGAGTTGCTGCCCTATGTCTGGCGTCCCATCACAATATTCAGCTGCTAAAAATGCTTATTGTTAGRGCTAGACACCAGTACGAATTGAGCTAAGGCGAAGGTCAAGTGGGACTTGGACGTGTGCATTTAGACTCAGCTGTGGTATAATAATTAGTTGAAGTTTCTCAATTTATGCTATTAATAGCTCTCAACAGCATGTGCTGAGTCCAAAGCGGTGGCGCTTCCTGGAACCTGTTCATYGCTGGGACTTGTCTTGCTGGAGCCACAGTCAGCTTTGGGAGAGTGTAATTTCAAAACTAATCTCTCCGCTTATCACTTTGGGCAAAAATTGCATCAGGCTGTTCTGCCAGACCAACTTGTGCTTCCTTGCGTCAGTGCCTCTCAGCTGAGTTGGGAAATGGGGTTTGTTCATCTAGAGAAGAGGCCGCCCTATGTGTTCCTAGCAACTTCTTCAAAACGGCTCATGGGGACTCTCCTGCTTCCYTTGGGCTTAGATCGCACTTAAACCTGACAGCTGGGCTGCGTGTTTCTTCTGTGCTTTGCAGCTCCTCTTTGCTTCCCCTGCACTGAGCTGGCCAGCCGCTGTCCCAGTACGTGAAGCTTGTGCAGCGTCGGAGCCGTTGGAAGCAAAGCCTGCCCGAGTGTCAAATGCGGGTGCTGCCTGGCAGATCCAGCCAGCCGAGGGAAGATGACAGGGACTATCCAAGGTACTGGAGCTGTCGCTGCTTGACTAAATGGCTCTAAAGATGCCACCAACAGCGCTTTTGTTTGTCTCCTTTGAATGCCTCCTCAGAGACCGCCTCGCTGAGCTGTGAGCTGCCTTTGCTGCCCCTCACAGCAAACCTCGCGCCGTACACTTCCTTCGTTTGGGTTTTCTGACTCCCCTCCTTGCTGCTGTAGGCACTGAGTGCCCTCTTTTGCTTAGATTTTGCTCCTAATCTTCCAGTCTCTCGGGAGACCCTCATGTGTGATACAGAGGAGGCAGCACCACTGTTAGGACAACTTGTATTAACGTGTCCCCGGGGCTCTCGTCACAGACTGACCCTCTTGGAGGGGTTCTGTACACGTTTGTCTTCAGCACCCACGATGTTGGAGTTAAATACATAATAATAAATATTAACAGCCTGCCTGTTTTTTTTTAAGGAAAATATTCATTTTTCTTTTCTATTAACTGTTATCTGATACGGTTATCTCCTTCTAAATGTGTGATCCCACCTATCTTTTCTTGCCTGTTTCTCAGCTGCATTCCCCCCTCCCTGATAGCTCCAGGATAGAAGCTGAGCCCTGGAAAATGCCATGCAGGGAGAGCTTGGGGACGTGCGTTGGAGCGAAGATGTCGGCAGTTGCGCTCACGGAACAGGGCAGAGTTCCCGCCGAGCCCCTAAAGGCTGACCTGGGAAAGCGAAGCCAGAACCGAGCAGCCCCTCCGTGGGATCCCAGCTCGACTGGAAGTGAGGAATATTGCTGTTGTTTAAGCCCAGGCAGCCTTTGGAGCGCCTCGGTGATGACGATGACGAGGAGGATGATGACGTCGACGATGACGCGCGCGCCCCCTCGGGGCTCGATTCGCCGCGCCTGCGCTCTGCCGCCCCCGCGCGGCCAGCGGGGCGGCGAGCGCTCGTCTCTCGGCTCGCCGCGCCTGGCGCCCTTCTAGCCTCGGCTGCTCGGGCCCTGGCGCCGCTCGCGGCTCGGCTCCTCGCGCCTGGCTCGGCGCTCGACTGGCTCGCCTGGCCGGAGCGCGGAGCGGCGGCGACGAGCGACACTCGGGGCCCTCCCTGCGGCCCGGCCCCGCTCCCGGCCCGCGGCGCCCGCCGTTTGTTTTTCCTGCCGCGGAGCCCTCGGCGGAGCCGGGCCCGGCGTGGCCGCTCCCGTGCCGCGGCAGCCCCGCTGCTTCCCCAGCCTCGTGTGTCCTGCAGCCCTGCAGGCAGCACCTGCATCTCCGTCGTTTTCCTGGAGTGTTTTTCATTATTATTGTTTTATTTTCTCTGGGTTATTTTTACTCTTGCCAGCAACATGCTTTCAGTTGTCTTTGGAAAGTGCTCAGCGTAATTCTAGCACAAAAAAAAAGTGTTTCAACTTCAAGAATGAATAGAATTTTAGAGGAGGGGTTTTTTTTCTTTCTTATTATGTTCTCTTATCATAACTTTCTATTTTAAGAGGCAGATTTAAGAACAGAAAGCAACCTTGTTTTAGGGGGAAATTTGTCCTCGGGAAGATCGCATTTATGAATATGAGGGATCTATTAACTGCATATGTAGGGTCAGGAATTGTGCTGCTCCATTTCTCCCCTGTATGAAATTTTCACAGACTTTTACAGAAGAACCTGATGTCTGTTTTTTTTTTTTCCTCCTCTATATTTGTTCTTGTTTACTGCGCCACCCACTTTGGCGTCCTTTGCAAATGTCATCCGGCTCCCCAGCCTTTGCCACTCCCATCCTCTTTCAAATTGCTAATGGGAATGTTCAAATGGGACCTAAAAGTGACCTCCTGGAAACGTGCGTTTGCTGCCAATCCCCTACAGTGCTGCTTAGCTGTGTTGCTGGGCTAGTTTTCAGAATGTGGAGCAGGGTTAACGCCGAGCAGATTTGAATGCCTTATGAGTCAGGTTCAGAAACGGCACCTGAAGTTACAAGCTTCGTGCTCTGAAACACGACAGTGATGCCGTTTCTCGCACTTGAAGCTCTGCGGGACAGCTTGCTTAGCAGCAGTGCGGTGCGGGAGAGCTGGTAAGGGGGCGGCGTGTGTCAGGAGCTGCCTTGTTCGCTCTCGTGCTGGTGGCCGTGCGCTAWCGTGACAAGGAGAGTAACAGAATCAAAACAGAAACAAAGTGAGGAGAGAAGAACACGGATTTCAAAAGTGAGTAGCAATGTAAAGTGTCAGGGAAGAGACTAAATATTAGAAATATTTTAATGCAAAGTTATTAAAATGCCTAAGTAGTAGTTTCTTAATGAAAGCCTCAGTGGGGTCCTCTGGCCTGTTCTCCCAGAGCAATTCCTGCTGCCCTGCTCCTGGTACGTAGCACTAGCTCACCACCTCGTGCAGCGTAAAATGCTGAAAGGTGTCGCTGACCCTTGTTTGATGCATTTCTTGTTGTATTTCTCATACTCTGAGTCCTAGAATAAGAAAGGAAAAGGTCTTAAGAAATGGCCATGTTTCTGTGTTCAAAGTCTAGATCTTCTTTTTCTCCCATGGCTTCGTTAGTTTTGATACACTTGTGCATGAAGACAGCTTCAGCTTGGCTGTGGATYACTCTGCTTTTGAGTTGTTACCTTGATTATTTCCATGTGAACAGSGAAGTGCAGGAGCTGTGTAAATTACAACTGGAAAAACAGAATGTATTTTCTTTACCTAGCTAGTGTGCACATGTAGCTTTTAGATGTAGCYTTGGTGCTGAAAAATATTTTATTTTCATCTGTAGGTATTACTTCACTACTCTGCACTGTAGATACTCCCAAGTTTCTCTTCCACGTGTAATGTCAATACGTGGCACGATCTGCAGCTCTTGAATTTGGGGAAGTTTGATGTGACTTTTACTGTACATATTGGGACTTTGGATTTAGAATTTCTTCTTCTTCTAAGAAGAGAGCACTTCTCTTATGGTTAATCTGTGTTCTCCCCATCTCCTATCTCTTCTTTCTCTTCCTCATTTCCCACTGTGTGCAGGACTCGGTGAAATAGGCTGTAGGCTGAGAATAGAATTCAGAAACAAACTCGTAATCCCCTGGATCTTACTTCTGCTGTTTGGCTTATTTTGCAGCTCTGTGAAATGGCTTTTATTCTCTTCTTTGCGTCTGGATTGTGGCTAGTATCATCTTTGTGGGAATTTGTGAAGTTTGCACAGAAATCATAACAATAGTAATGGAAGTGCTTCATGTTATCATTGGTAAATGAAACTGTCAAGCCTCAGACTCAACCGATCCTCCCCCCTTTTTTTTTGTAATTTCTCTTGTCATTTTTTTTCTTTCTTTTTAATCTTTAGCATTTGGTATTTGCAATTTTCTATTCCACTTCCTCATAATTTTTCTGTAAATTACCAGCAATTAAACTCTTGACTATAGAGTTCTCTTGAAAGTCTTATAGCTTATTTAAACCAGGCTCAGAAGACAAATTAAGATTCTGAATGCAGTAAACTTTTTTCTTGCAGTCATGTAGTAGTTTGAATTGACAGTGTGATCTGTGTGTAATTTAATCAATTTT